ATGTCCTTAGGGCTCCCTATTTGACAGAGCTCGTGGAAAGTGGATTACCTACCAGGGTGTACGCACCGTCCAAGGGTCTAATTCCTGGATCGCAACCATTATACGTGCCATACTGCAGCCAGTATTAGGTTGTTCGAAAAGTAATGCGACACTTTGACCAAATTTTTCGGACTAAATTTTCAGTCACTAAAAGACATCTCCAATCTACAAGGTAACCGCAGTTGATGACTAGGACTAGTGCCCTTCTTTTGCACAGCTTCTCATTTCCATTCTCATAGAACTACGGCAACTATGAGGTCAATTCTCGGAATTTTCGCTTTTTAAAGGATGCGATAGGGACCAAAGGAGGTGGTAATTAGAGGCTGCTAACTTTGTTAAATAACCTGGGTACGGTCGCATTCTCTGATCGAAATCCATGATCTTTTGGCGTAGCCTGATCCCCACATGCGGTCTTCGCATTGCCGAGTAGTAGAGAAAAATTGAGTATTTCTGAATGAATTCAAGCGTGACGTCATCCATATTTTGAAGTGAGGTGGACTGTGGTCCTTACAACGGTGCTAGTATCCAGTGATACCGCTTTGAAGTCCCACCAATAACACACTGAAATCTTTATCCCATGCACATCTGTTTTGGCTAAGCAATCTACTTTTCTTTTGAGAGATCCTGCGAGGGACATGTGCATGATGTACGCAAGGACTCCAACACTCGCTACCAACCACAAGATCTCACAAAAGTTCTTTCGCTGTGTACAAGGAAAAGAAAACTCAGTCACGGTCATTCGGTATGACTTGTCAGACGGGTCCAACTCATGAGCATCCTTCACAAAAATTTTTTCCGATAACCGAGATTGCGGAGAAGCATGGCAGTTGTCAGTCAGGTGGAGCCTAGAGAGGTTGCCAACTTACTGGTGGTTACCTTCGGCTGCGCCTCAAGAAGCTTGAGTAAAGGGCCGTCATTCTGTGCTGGTGGGCGACCTATACATTCTGGAAGCCTGATGCAAGAGCTACCCTTTGCCATGGCAAGTTATACCCTTTCTTAAGGCAATGTAGGTGTTAGCTTCCTCGACTACGGGG